AAGTATGGTTGATTAGGTCACTCTAACTAGGTGAAAGTTCAAATTTAGTTGGAAGTTTGTTTGTGTCAAAGAATTGATATGACCCATATGGATAGGAAGAAACACAAATCCAAATAAATATAACTACTCATGTTTGATGAAATTGATCAGAAGGACACTGTGGGCAAATGATATTTAATTTCTTGTCTTTGTTAACATCTTTCTCTATTAAGTCGCACATTATAAAATAGTCTTATAACCAAAAATATTAGCAATCTTCAGTGAGTAAATAAAACATAAACTATGAGCAGAGACAATAAATAAAACATCAGACAAGCGGAGCACTTAGGAAAATAGGATGTTATTCAATTAAATAAACATAAACAATCAAAAAATATAATAAATAGAACAAAAGGAAACCAGGTCCTTAAAGAAAACAGATCAAGGAAAAGAAAACTAGTACCTATTAAGGCAGCTTTTTCATTTCAACACACGGTGATAGAGGAAGAGGGAGGCCAGAAGTCTACTAAATATTAGACCATAATGACCTTTAAGAGAGATTCAATCAGACAAAGAGGTGAGAATATGAAACAATTGAAGTTCTAAATAATATTTGCTGGTTGAATACTTAATATAGGTACTTGTAAGGTTTAAATGTATATGATTTTGTGTATAGCGTGAATATGGAAAGATAAAATGTCCATTTTCAAGTTTTAGCATATGACATATTCAATGCACATTGAATATTTGGTCCCTAATACGTTAAACTTGAATAAATGTACCAAAAGAAAATCTTTCATTTTCCATTGCTGCAAGCTGTAGCTCAAGCCAACCAATGCACCCATTTTTTATACTAATAAATATACACAGCTGTTATTTAAGTATGAATATGAAGAATTAAGACATTTAAAGATTTATATAATAATACACACACAGATATATATAAATTAAATAAAAAAGGGTAGTATAGACATTAGTAGTTGTATTAAGGTTATTATAGTCAAACAAAAGTTTCACTTTTATTGACATTTTATAGTAGTATAGATATAGATATAAATAATTATAATTTATAAAGTAAATCACATATCTATCAAAGATATATAATAACTAGTCATAACACGTGCTTGAAAGAACGATGAAATATAAGATTTGAGCATTCAAAAAATTGATTTCACTATACCAAATAATAATTTTTTATTTCTTCGTTTCTTTTATTACATTATTTAAAATTAATTTTTAACTATTATTTTTTTAAAAATAACGTCAAAATTTTCTCAAAATATATAACTCACAAAATTTTTTCAACACATGTACATTATTGTGTATGGATAATGTATGAAATAAAAATTGCGTTAAATTATAAATTAATAAAATATTAAATGATTGAACATGTGATAGAATTGGATGATATGATGTGTTTAGGGAGAAAAATATATGAGGGATAAATTTTCAACCTCCTATGTGTTTTATTATATAAATAACTAATTATTCTATCATTCAAAAATCATACATTCATAATTTTTTTTTTTTTTGCAAAAAAGAGCCCAAACATATTTGTTTTGGTGTCCCTATTTTTTTAAAAAAATTCCAGTAATACCCCACCATATCGCAATGTATTCCCACCGTATCGCGACGTATCCCCACCGTATCCCGAAATATCCAAAATTTAATTTTTTTTTTTTAATTCTAGGATACTTCCCAGCCATATCGTATTCGGAAAATATCCGATACCAATACTTTGACCATTTTGCAATATTCGTGCTTCATAGTTAAAAAGTAATATCATTTGTTGATTTCATCTATCATAATTATTAAATAAGTAGTATGTCCTGATAAATAATAGGACTATCAGTTAAATTAATGGATAGTGATTAATAGAGTCAATAAATGATATTAATTTTTAAAGTCCAAGTAACATTGTTCTTNGATTTCATCTATCATAATTATTAAATAAGTAGTATGTCCTGATAAATAATAGGACTATCAGTTAAATTAATGGATAGTGATTAATAGAGTCAATAAATGATATTAATTTTTAAAGTCCGAGTAACATTGTTCTTAAATTTCGGATTCCTACATCAACCGCAATCTATAACTCCTCCAAGGTGCGGATGAATTGTTCTTATTTGTTCAAATTGACCACAAGGTTTGACAGGATGGATGAAAAAATAAAATAATAAAAAGTAAAAGTGATACATTTTTTATCTTTTAAGAATAAAAATGAAAATAAGAATGATTGATTTTTGTTTTTGTTTAATAAGATAAAAAAATGGATATTTTACTATTGCATATATATGAAATTTATATATACATAATCTGTAATAGATAACTAGGACATATGTATATATTAAAAATATAAAGGTAAATAATATGTGTTTCAATACACTTAATTAACTTTTCATTTATTTTTTTCTCCAAATTTTAGAAAAATAGATTTTGGTAAAATAGAAAGATGGTTAATTGGAGGATAAATTCTTCGTCGCCTTACTCTAATAACAGAAACGAGTTGTAAACTTAATTATCTTTCATAAATATTCTAGTTTTGACGTAGATGGTCTGTCTTTAATCAAATTGAAGAGAGAATTAGTCGAAATGCACATAAACTGATCCAAATATTTTTGACTGTTAAACCAAGCACCAAAAAAAGGAAAACAAAAACTATTTCATATACTTTTTTATCATTTTTATTTTTCTTGTTTTCGAAACGTGATATTCTTCTAACTTTTCAATTTTTCATTATTTTCATCCTTCCCTCTTTCACTCATTCCAAACCAACCATAGTTCTTCGATCACAATAGGCCAAAAAAAACTGAAAAAGCGGAGTCATAAAGATTAATAATTCAGTATGGCTTTAAAAAAGCTACTTTTGGCCGGTGGGCGTAGATCTTTTTATGGAGGTATTCCAATGTCTAAGGATAGCCACTAAAGTTTAAGTCACAAAACGTTTATTTTATGGGAATTGCCTACATAAATGTCGAGTTTTAGGTATTATTAAGGGTAATTCGTAACTAAAATTAGGGTAGAATATTTATTTATTTTGAGAGGATGTTAGTGGTCATTAGATAAATTTATTTGAGACCGTCGAATGGACTTGTTGACGTCTTTCATATTTTATATTATAGATTAGTTGATATTTTTGTAGTAAATCTTTTTTTTTCTTCTTAAATTTGTTCTTTATGTACTTGTTAAAGTAACATTATTTTAATTTTTTCCTTATTTGAAATTACTTCTTTCTCCCAAACTTAATGGCATGTGTGTAATATATGTATAATACACATTGACGATTATAATTCATATAGAAAGATTTTTATTGACCGCTTTTGCTGCTTAAGAAGTGATGATATCCATTAAACAGTGATCATACATAATTTTTGTTATGTCGAGTTAAATTTAAAAAAGGTTACCAAACAGTAACTAAATATTTAAAGAAACGGGACATTATTAAGAATTTGAATTCATATTTTATCTACTTTTATTAATTTATAAAGTCTTTTTTAGTGAGTATTCTTAATTGTTTCATCTCCTGTAACCTATTCGTCCCAAATCCACAATCGAAATGAACCCTAGATGAATTTTTATTTATTGTAGGACACATCAAAAATGTAAATAAAGACAAGGAAAAATTAGAGTTGGTCCAAACCAAACATAGGGGTTGTGAGTGTAATTTCTTATTATTAGTGCTGTTACATGAATCCTCGAAATTATTAAAGAGTGTTGAAAACTTCATAACATTTTTTTTTCTCTTCTTGATAGCAACGATCTATATAATATATAAAAGATATAAGTCTCGACACTTCTGAATTTTTGTACTCTAGGTAGAAAACAACAAAACAAACAAACATGCCCGAATGCCATTTGAAAATCTTCTCATATGTTAATATACTAGTTGTTTGAAGACACGATAAAATAAAAAATTCAAACGCCTAAAAAATCGATCCCATTATATTAAATTTTTTCAAAATATATTATCTACAAATTAATCAAATATTAAATGATTAAATATATGATAGAAATAAATGATATAATATTTTTAAGGAGAAAATATATAAATGATTAAATATGTGATATGATTTGACGTTTGAGTTTGACAAAAGGATGATGAGTGAGATAAATGATTGATGATGATTTTGAGAGAGAAAATATAACTGAGATAAAATTTAAACACACTTCTGTTTTATTATATAGATCCTTCGGCAAGTTTGATTTTCAAAGTCATCCTATTTGTATTGAATCCGGTCCCATGAATTAATATTTAATATGTGAGTCACTCTCATATATAATGTCACAATTTAATATGAAATAAACAAATGGGGACAATTAGTTGGCGCAGTCGATTTTGAATTGGTGTCCCAGACAATCGATACGTAGAATTTGTAATATTTTTTGATCTTTATATATTTTGGGAGGGGAATGAGAACTTGAACTCTTAACTTTAAGAATGTAAAATATTCACAAGATAAGTAGTATTATTGAACCAAAAACCCATTGATATCTTTCAATCTTTACATGCAAGAGTCTAATTGAAAAAAAAATATTTATATAAAAATTAAGAGCAATGTTATGTTGTACAAAAATATATGCACCAAATTAATTACAACAGTTGAATCAACTGGTCTCATCATTAATCCAACGACTATAATTGCAGTAATGCTATGCGCACAAAAAATATGTACCAAAATTTGTACTAAATCACTTACAACGGTTGAATCAGTAGGTCCTACTAGTGATCCAATGATTATAATTGATTAGTGTAAATTTTAGTGCATATAAAATTATTTAAAAATTAAAGTTATGTTAATTTAATATTTAAGGAGGGAAGTTTTTATAAGTTTGATTATTTTATATAATTTTATAAATTTGTACAAAATTTATTTGTAAGTTATTAGATCATGCTACTATGTCATGGGGGATGCAATAATATCGTCCTCGAGGAAAATGCTATTTGGACCGTTCTCGGAAAGAGTCTCGTGGAACCCCTAATACTTCTATAGACTATAAAATGACTCCCCATGAAGTGACAATCTGTCTCTCTCTGTCTCTCTCAGAGAGGTTCATATTTCCACTGGGTCTGAGTCAGGGTGCTCAAACAAGAGAGGATGGATGAGGCGTTATTACAGAAAGAAAGAGGAGAGGAAAGAGAGGGTAGCCTAACATGGGGTGTGTTGGGTCAAGAAGTGAAGGGACTAGGCTACATAGCTGGGCCTATGGTGACTGTGACTTTATCACAGTATCTGTTGCAAGTAATATCGGTGATGATGGTGGGTCACCTGGGTGAACTTTATCTCTCCAGCACTGCCATCGCCATCTCTCTTTCTGGTGTCACTGGTTTCAGTATCATGGTGAGTCTCTTTGTCCATTTTCATTCACTGTAACCATTTTGATTGTATTCTGGGTTGCTAGAGTCACCAGTAAGTGTACAGGAATCCGATGACTTTGTAGGGCATTGTATGAATTATTCTCTTGGTTGTCACCATTAACCTAAATTATTGTTTTATCTCTCTCTCTCTCTAATGCTCAAACTTCATTCAAATATCTGGTGTGCAATTCAATAGCAGACCTTGCAGGGCAACAGATNTTCAAAATATATTAAAATATTATATTCTTTTTAAAGAGTCATTTTTACAAAGTTACTATAATCATATTCTCTATTTTAGTTAACTAATATAAATATTTTAAGTCAAAATATTGCATAGCTGGACACGTCATTAAAATGTAAAATAGCTATCCACTTGGAGGGCAAAAATAGTTATTTGGCCCTCCAAATATAAAATAGCTAGCCAAGGAAACTAGCCAAATGTAAACAGCCATTTAACCCAAATATAAAATAACTAGTCTCTTGGAGTACAATTTTGTGATTTCGCTCTTTATTTTAGCCAACAAATGTCAAATAGTTAGTTCCTTGAAGATCTTTTGCATAGAAGAAGAGTGGGTAGGTAGTTGCTTACATAGAAGATTAGTTATTAATTTTAGTAGGGTCCATTTGCTTATATGTTTTGATATTATTGATTGATAATACCACGTTAACATTGTCATATATTATCATCGTTATAATGAATATTTTCTTGTGGTGGGGGATGTCCGACCAATCTTTTGAAAATATCCCTTCCTATACTTTCTATTTTGGTAGGGGAGACGGGAAAATTGATATTTGGCCTTCTTCCATTCTAACTATTTGTGTTTTTGTGGGAGGAGGAAGACGAGCATCTCCATCATCCAACATATTATTAGCCCCCCTTCTTATTTATATAATTCAAAAGAAAGCAACATTCACTTAGATTCACCGAATTATGGCTCATGTTTCTGTTTGACATATTTTTGGATTACGAATGTGTTAAAGTTCGGACAGACTTAAAGTTTAAAAACACTTATAACCTTACATAAAGTGAGGTTCTAAAATTGTGACTGTTTAAGCGATTGTAACGAGGTGCAATACTACCTCTAAGACTCTTTTCCCTGCCTAGGAGATCAATGACTTAAATAATTTTGTGTTAATTTTTTTTATCCCATGTAGTTTTGGTTAGAAACAACTTATCTTCTGGATACATTACCCTCGTTATAGTTATATATCAAAGTGAAGTAATTAACTTTGTTAACAAAATTAAAAAATTATCGTAATACCTACGTTTTAAAATAAGGCTTTTTGTCTGAATTACTCTTGACCATAAAATTAATGAAACATGAAAACAAAGTAACACATTTCAATCCAACATATCGAGTATCTTTTTTTTTCTCAAAAATGAGGTTTTGATTTGGGACTGAAAATCACTTATATTTTTTTATTTGGAACCGATGCCCTATCTATTTGAGTGTTATACCATATATTATCAAGTGTATTTTAATCACTTAGACAATATTTTTTTAGAAGGAAAAATGAAAATAAAGCTTACAACATATTTTAGGCTTGTAGAGTACACTCTTCGTTAACTTAGATGATAAAAATAATTATTTTACTTTGATACACAACTACAAGAGAGTAATATACATAATTTTAAACGTGAAGTATGTAAGATATTTTTAGTCAAAATTGTATAGAGATAGAAAATAAATAACCCAATAATTTTCAGTGAAACAACTTGATGAACTGAAACTCAGAAAAGCTATTGGGAATGAAAATAATAAATTGAACAAGAGACAGAGATGGGAACAACAAACTAAAATCGTCAGTTCAGACACGGAATTTTGCAGTACTGTAGCCTTATCTGAAGTGTATTTGTCTGGCCTCAAATGATTAATTGTTAGGTGTTGTTGTCTTGCATCAAATGTTTGCTTGTTTGGTGTACTGGTTAATTATACAAGGGTTAATCTCGTTTTGTACCTCGAAAAATTGTTCGAATATCAATTTGTATGTTCAAAGATTAAAAATCTTAATTTACACCCTCAAATATAGAAATTTGTATCAATGTGTACTCCCAAAAATTNATTTTAGGTTAATATCATTTTACACCCCGAAAGATCGTTTGAATCTCAATTTATACTCTTAAAGATAGAAATTTGTATCAATGTGCACCCCTAAAAATTAAAAATCTCAATTTGCACCCTTAAAGATAGAAATTTATATCAATGTGCACCCCAAAGATAAAAAATCTCAATTTGCACCATCAAAGATAGAAACTTGTATCAATGTGCACCTAAAACTAAATTGATAAATTATACCTAGATCCCCTCATNTCAGTATCATGGTGAGTCTCTTTGTCCATTTTCATTCACTGTAACCATTTTGATTGCATTCTGGGTTGCTAGAGTCACCAGTAAGTGTACAGAAATCCGATGACTTTGTAGGGCATTGTATGAATTATTCCCTTGGTTGTCACCATTAACCTAAATTATTGTTTTATCTCTCTCTCTCTCTAATGCTCAAACTTCATTCAAATATCTGGTGTGCAATTCAATAGCAGACCTTGCAGGGCAACAGATTTTGGTTGTAAAAAATGTGTAAGGAGCCAATTTGGGTGATAAAAAATTGGAAATATGAATCGGATCTATCAAATAACTATTTTCCGTATTTGACCACACATCAAGCCTTTGATTATATTTGGATGAAAATCCGATTGTTGCTTATAGCGTATCAAAGTTACTTCGTCTGGTTGATTAACATTATTAGTATCTTTGGTATTGGGATCGATTTTTTGCTTTTTACTTGTAAAATTTACTATAGTAAACCCGTTCACTGGAAGAATTATGAGAAAGGTGGACGAACAGTTCAGAGAAGGAGAGAGTAATCAGAATTGATAGGATGAGAATCAATAAAAAATAGAACTTGAAGTTTTAGACTTTAAAAGGAAAAAAAAATAGAAGAGATAAACTTTATATAACTTGGAGGTGCTTCATATGATACCAATTTGATAAGATAGAGTACAAAGCTACTGTCTGTATGAAATCCATTCTCAAAAGGTGGGTGATAGACTCATAGTCCCAAAGCTTTGTTTGTTTTGCTATCTCTTTGGACAAAATTTATAATTTTTGCCCTGCTCTGCTTTGTCCTCTTGCATTATATAAAACCCATTTTCAAAAGGTGGGTCATAGACCTGCTCTGTTTAGTCCTCATACATTGTTAAAATACTGGGGGTTAACTATCTAATGATTGTGAGTTCGAATTTGAGGAGACACTCTGAAGTTTGATTTGTAATCGGTTTCATCAATCCAAGCATCTTTTATTATGGTTTTGTTCTTGATGCCTTTTTGACATAGTCAAGATACATTGGAAGCCTCACTGCACATGGAATTTTACATATAACAGTATAGCAAGATTTCTTTACTTATAAATCCATAATAGTTTACTATCTAAACCTCAGTGACTCTCACCTTAATGGTTTGTGATAGTGGACCACTTAACATATTTATTTAATCGAAATTTAGAAATCATTTTGTGAGGTTTCTCGACAGTGTCCAAAGTGAAACAAGTTTTTGATGCATTTCTTGCAATAATGATCCAACAAGAACACACATTCATACATACAAAAAATTACAAGAGAGAAAGAGGCTAGTAGATTAGGTGACTCAATAGATTGAGTATTGAATTTTTCTGGAACTTACTAGATTTTGAACCTGCCAAACAGTTGGGAATGGCTAGTGCGCTGGAAACTCTATGCGGGCAAGCTTATGGAGCTCAGCAATACAAAAAACTTGGAACTCAGACTTACACAGCTATTTTCTCTCTCATCATTGTTTGTATCCCGCTTTCTATCTTATGGATATATATGGGTGAAATACTCATTTTCATAGGCCAAGACCCTTCGATTTCACATGAAGCTGGAAAATTCACAATGTTTCTTGTTCCAGCTCTATTTGCTTATGCAACTCTTCAACCACTTGTAAGATACTTTCAAATGCAAAGTATGGTCGTCCCCATGCTCGTATTCTCATGTGCCACTCTTTGTATACACATACCTCTTAGTTGGGTGCTAGTGTTTAAGTCTGGGTTAGGAAACCTTGGAGCAGCAGTAGCAATTGATATTTCACTGTGGTTGAATGTGATTATCGCTGGTCTATACATGAAGTACTCTTCCACCTGTGAAAATACCCGTGTCCCAATTTCAATGGATGTGTTCCAAGGAATTGGAGAGTTCTTCCGCTTTGCCATCCCCTCTGCTATTATGATTTGGTAATCTCTTTCTCTCTCTCTCTCTGAATAGATTATGTGGAAGGCATATTTGCTGAATTGGAGTTATTCTTTACTTGTTTTACATGATGATTGTAGTCTTGAATGGTGGTCATTTGAGCTACTTATCTTGCTGTCAGGACTTTTACCAAATCCACAACTTGAGACTTCAGTACTGTCTGTATGGTATGTTCTGTCAGCATCTGAAATTTTCCACAACTTGGTTATCTGAATTCTTAATTATCACTTGGAGGTTTTGCTTTTGGGATTAATATATCAATTACAATTTCTTCTGCATTTTGTAAACAGCCTCAACACAATTGCTACACTCTATTCTATACCATATGGACTTGGTGCTGCTGTCAGGTTTGCCCAAAACTCAGCGAATTGCTTGTACCTGTGCACTGCAGCATAAGATGGCTGTGGGCATAGCCTTTCTTATAGTGTATTAATGTCTTTGAAACTACTTTTATATTTCAGCACTCGAGTTTCAAATGAATTAGGAGCCGGGAATCCACGACTAGCTCGTGTAGCTGTCTTTGCTGTGATGCTTCTTGCTGTCTTAGAAACCACAATTGTAAGTGCAACCCTCTTTGCCAGCCGGCATGTTTTCGGCTACACATTCAGCAATGAAAAGGAAGTTGTGGATTATGTCACATCAATGGCTCCTCTGGTTTGTCTATCTGTTATAATGGATAGTATACAAGGAGTACTTTCAGGTTAGATTTAGATTTTACCCCGATCACGCTCCTCTATATCTTGATGTAAATTTACCTAAATTACCTGTTTTTCTGGATCAGGAGTTGCTAGGGGGTGTGGGTGGCAGCATATAGGAGCTTATGTCAATCTTGCAGCATTTTACCTCTTTGGAATTCCTATTGCTGCCACCTTGGGTTTCTGGGTGCAGTTACGGGGAAAAGGTCTTTGGATCGGAATCCAAGCTGGTGCTATTCTACAATCAATTATGCTCTCTATAATAACTAGTTGCACAGATTGGGAAAAGCAGGTCTATCTTCCATCCTTTTTATCATTTTAAAGTTATTCATTGCTCTAACATGAAATTCAATTTGCTTCCCTCAATTCCGAGAAAATAGAATGAAAGAAGAGAAAAGTTGGAGTTTTCCAGTGTACATTTAGATTAGCAAACCCAATTTTTTCTTTCTCCCTTTCTCTATTAGTTTTCTGTTTTTGTTTTTTTCAGAACAGAATGGAGAACTAATGTCAATTGGCTAGTTTTATTGACAATGTCCTTGTGGTGATGACCTACTACCAATAATCAATCACAAGCCTTATTGAACTGATGACCTACTACCAATAATCAATCACAAGCCTTACATCCGAAAATGAGTTGGAAAGTGTTTTGGTTTTGGTTATGTCCTACCATTCTAATAGTAGTTTTCTTTTCCCATATCTCAGGCAAGTAAGGCAAGGGAAAGATTATTGGAGGAAACATCTTCGGCTAATAACGGATTAATGTGAATTGAGACGTAGCTATGGAAAAGCTGTGAAAGAAAACCTTTACCCAATTTAGAAACAGGATACGAGCTCATGTTTCTTTTTGGCTCCAAAAATTTTGTAAAATTGCATTTTTGTTGTTGTACTTGTTTAGTCTACACTATGTGGGTGTGAGAAACATTTGTTTTCCTTTAAACTTCCCCCTTTTGCTTCAAATAAAACTCTAGAGGAGATGTTCTTCCTCTCTCATGAATTAGAACAAGTTAATGTGAAAAGTAGGAAGACTACTTGATATATTTTGGAAGCTAATCATCAAGAAAGACCCTTAGTAGGTGCCAAGGTCAAATTGGGAGGATCCAGAGTTTCAGTTAATCGCTCAATGTAATCGGGTTTCAAATTCCTTTGAATACGTATTTTCTTTAATTCTCCACATAATATTACTCATAAATTTTGTAAAATTGCATTTATATTGTTGTACTTGAGAGTCTATACTATGTGGGTGTGAGAAACATTGTTTTCCTTTAAACTTTCTGCTCTTGCTTCAAATAAAACTCCTAATGATCTCACTGTATAATGGATCTAGAGTTTGGGGGGTGTATGTGTGTGTGGTGGTGGGTGAGTAAATATTGAACGCAACAATTATACCATATCAACAATGCTGATGTGGTATCACAACTAATAATAAAACACCAATTAGATAATATGAACCTCACTTAGGTAATTATTTACTTAGAGCATCTCCAAAGATATTTTTCAAAATAGTTATTCAAAATATATTAAAATATTATATTCTTTTTAAAGAGCCATTTTTACAAAGTTACTATAATCATATTCTCTATTATAGTTAACTAATATAAATATTTTAAGTCAAAATATTGCATAGCTGGACACGTCATTAAAATGTAAAATAGCTATCCACTTGGAGGGCAAAAATAGTTATTTGGCCCTCCAAATATAAAATAGCTAGCCAAGGAAACTAGCCAAATGTAAACAGCCATTTAACCCAAATATAAAATAACTAGTCTCTTGGAGTACAATTTTGTGATTTCGCTCTTTATTTTAGCCAACAAATGTCAAATAGTTAGTTCCTTGAAGATCTTTTGCATAGAAGAAGAGTGGGTAGGTAGTTGCTTACATAGAAGATTAGTTATTAATTTTAGTAGGGTCCATTTGCTTATATGTTTTGATATTATTGATTGGTAATACCACGTTAACATTGTCATATATTATCATCGTTATAATGAATATTTTCTTGTGGTGGGGGATGTCCGACCAATCTTTTGAATATATCCCTTCCTATACTTTCTATTTTGGTAGGGGAGACGGGAAAATTGATATTTGGCCTTCTTCCATTCTAACTATTTGTGTTTTTGTGGGAGGAGGAAGACGAGCATCTCCATCATCCAACATATTATTAGCCCCCCTTCTTATTTATATAATTCAAAAGAAAGCAACATTCACTTAGATTCACCGAATTATGGCTCATGTTTCTGTTTGACATATTTTTGGATTACGAATGTGTTAAAGTTCGGACAGACTTAAAGTTTAAAAACACTTATAACCTTACATAAAGTGAGGTTCTAAAATTGTGACTGTTTAAGCGATTGTAACGAGGTGCAATACTACCTCTAGACTCTTTTCCCTGCCTAGGAGATCAATGACTTAAATAATTTTGTGTTAATTATTTTTTATCCCATGTAGTTTTGGTTAGAAACAACTTATCTTCTGGATACATTACCCTCGTTATAGTTATGTATCAAAGTGAAGTAATTAACTTTGTTAACAAAATTAAAAAATTATCGTAATACCTACGTTTTAAAATAAGGCTTTTTGTCTGAATTACTCTTGACCATAAAATTAATGGAACATGAAAACAAAGTAACACATTTCAATCCAACATATCGAGTATCTTTTTTTTCTCAAAAATGAGGTTTTGATTTGGGACTGAAAATCACTTATATTTTTTTATTTGGAACCGATGCCCTATCTATTTGAGTGTTATATCATATATTATCAAGTGTATTTTAATCACTTAGACAATATTTTTTTAGAAGGAAAAATGAAAATAAAGCTTACAACATATTTTAGGCTTGTAGAGTACACTCTTCGTTAACTTAGATGATAAAAATAATTATTTTACTTTGATACACAACTACAAGAGAGTAATATACATAATTTTAAACGTGAAGTATGTAAGATATTTTTAGTCAAAATTGTATAGAGATAGAAAATAAATAACCCAATAATTTTCAGTGAAACAACTTGATGAACTGAAACTCAGAAAAGCTATTGGGAATGAAAATAATAAATTGAACAAGAGACATAGATGGGAACAACAAACTAAAATCGTCAGTTCAGACACGGAATTTTGCAGTACTGTAGCCTTATCTGAAGTGTATTTGTCTGGCCTTAAATGATTAATTGTTAGGTGTTGTTGTCTTGCATCAAATGTTTGCNATATATAATTTATCAATTTAATTTTAGGTGCACATTGATACAAATTTCTATCTTTGATNTGTTACACATGCACAAACGTCTTGAGATGTAAGGAGAATATTCTAAATGTGAAGGAGTTCAAATGATTAAGTGACAAATATGAAGAGATCTATGTATAATTTATCAATTTAATTTTAGGTGTATATTGATACAAATTTCTATCTTTGAGGGTGCAAATTGAGATTTTTTATTTTTGAGGATGCACATTGATACAAATTTCTATCTTTGAGGGTGTAAATTAAAATTTTTGATCTTTGAGGATATAAATTAAAATTTGAACAATTTTTTAAGGTGCAAAATGAGATTAACCCATTATATAATTCAAACAATTAATTAGTATATATTTTCTTATGTCATGCAAAACCACAAAGCGATAAAGAAGGGGTGCCGTGTCTGACTTTGCAGCACGAAACAAAAAGCTCCCATTTACTTTAAGGAAAATAGTATTNTCTTTTAAAGTGCAAAATGGGATTAACCCATTATATAATTCAAACAATTAATTAGTATATATTTTCTTATGTCATGCAAAACCACAAAGCGATAAAGAAGGGGTGCCGTGTCTGACTTTGCAGCACGAAACAAAAAGCTCCCATTTACTTTAAGGAAAATAGTATTTGTAGGTTAAAAGGCTATAAAGCACGGAGAGGTTTTCCACACGCCCTACCCCACCCTTCTCTCCTCGCTCCCTCCCTCCCTCCCAAATTACTCTAACCCAATTAATTTTAAATATATATATTTTTTAAAAATATTATTTAAAATGACGTCTTCAAATATTAAAATATCATTTAGAGTAACGATTTAAAATTACATTTTTTATTTTAAAAACGTCACTCATAATGATTTTTTTAAATTCGTCATTTATAATGACATTTTTAACATGAATTTTTAAACGGCATCTAACAGGCGTTAAAAAAAAAATAAATCGGTCATTATGAATGACGTTTTCTACCCCTTTTTACAATGTCGTTTTCTAACCCTTTATTTACAATAACATCTTAAAAACGTATTTTTAGTCTTTTGCAATGATGTTTTCTTAGTCTTTTGTCTCCAACCACCAACTTGTAATAAATTTCATAAAAGTTAGTAACTCAACCTTATGTCTCACGTCATGATTCACTAGACAAAAAAAAATTTTTAATAAATTTTAGAATTTAATTCCCTTTTTATAATAATTTTAAACTTATTTTCTAATCGAAAATAAAATTCATTAAAGCATAATTTAATTTCATATTTTTCAATATAAAAACATATTTGTAAAATATATTTAATAGAAAAACTTAAAAGTGTGTTGACCAACTAAAGTGTGTAAAACTTCAAAATATGGAAAAAGATTCTTATACATTAAAACAAAATAATTTTATTACATGACACTGTAAGAAATATAGTTTGTCAATATTTTGGTTAATGTAGAAAACAACATAGATGGTTGCCAAGTACCCATAAGCTCGATGGAATAAAAGAGTCAGACGCATCATAACTTAAATCGGAATAATCAAAAAGTTTTGTATCTGAAACAAGTAACGGATCCTGCAAAATTTGAATCTCAGCATAATTAGGATCGAAGTACTCAATTTTTGCATGGTCGATTGCATGCAAACGATCAAGTGTACACTGCATCTGATCATTTTCTCGTTCAAGCCTTGTTATGATCTCGTTATGGTTGGTAGTGTTTTGTGAATAATATATATCAGTNTGCTCAATTTTTGCATGGTCGATTGCCTGCAAACGATCAAGTATACACTGCATCTGATCATTTTCGCGTTCAAGCCTTGTTATGATCTCGTTATGGTTGGTAGTGTTTTGTGAATAATATATATCAGTCGAACGTGTCTTCGGTACCATTAATCCATGTCAACGATAGTATACTTCAAGCTCACACCGTTTGTCATATAACTGTCGCCATCTTGGCATGGGTTCGATATGAACACTCAGAGGCGGAGAGTCAGTCGCAAGCCCCACAAATACATGTCCAACTTGACCGAATGAGTGATAAGGGTCAATGGACTCATAACAGAACTCACGTTTTTGTCCATACCAAGTTACACCGGTAGAATCTGTGTAAGATTCAATTGAACGAACTACTTCTCAACCACATGCTGCTCAGCTAATCGAGCGTTGACGTTCGTGGGGTGAAGATGAACTTTATTGTTCATTGCGTGATGAAGAACCTTGGGTGATTTGATTGGATTGCCTCTTAGATGTGCGCCTAAACATATTTTGGGTTGTAATGTACACAATCAATAAGAATGGTTTATATAGACACGAAATATATTTATATATAAATTTCACAGGACGATTACTGGGTACGACTAACATGACTTGACACATATAAAGTAATGATATGACTCCACACTGATAAAATAATGACATAACGCGTAAATGACAAAAGGACTGACATGACTTGTCACTAGACTGACGACACACTGATAAAATAATGATATAACTCTACATTGATAAAGTATTGACATACCTCGTGAATGATAAAAGGACTGACAAGATTTGTCACTAGACTTACTACACTGATAAAACAAGACTAACATGACTTATCACTAGACTGACTATACTGACAACATAATAAAATGAGTTCACAATGAAAAAGTAAATACATAACAATTCAAATACAAAAGATTGACATGACTGGACACTACACTGGTTAGACAGGCTTGCTAATACAGATTTTGATTTTGTTAAGCTTCATCAGACATATAATCATCTGACAACAAGGGCCAACATAGTGAGATGAGGCTCATGGATTTGAAAAGCAACCCAGCCATCTGAAGGTAGTAGAAACTTTATGGTTGAGAGGATTGCATGCTTAAAAGTTAAAATACTTGGATATTGCAGCGTGTTAAATAAAAAGTGTGGTTTTGATTACTTTTTGGTTTGCTTCCACATTTTTTTTTCTTTAACTTGA